TACGATCTTACCTTACAGACCGTACTCAGCTTGTGAAAGCAGACGACGCTTCATCCACGGTACGACCCCTTCATAGGGGTGTGCGTCAAGGTTCTGTCCTAGGCCCCATGCTTTACTTATTGTATACATCTCCACTGGGTGATGTTGTTCGTGAGCATGGCTTGTCGTTTCACTTTTATGCTGATGACTCGCAGCTTCATACATCTTTTGCTTGCAATGACACCTCTGATCTAGTAGCTGCAAAACAACGTCTTGAGAACTGCGTTGCTGGCATCAATTTTTGGATGACTGCCTACAAGTTAAAGCTGAACAATGATAAAACAGAATTTTTTTTCAGCACTCCCGTTTTCGTCATTCGTTGCCCCCTCCCACGATTTCTGTTGGCAAGGAAAACATCAGGCCCTCTCAACAGGCTCGCAATCTTGGCGTAATTTTTGACGACACAATGTCACTTTCACCTCATGTTATTACAATAGTTAAGGGTGCCTTCTATCACATACGAAATATTTTTAAAATAAGAAAATACATCAGTAAAAGTACCACAGAAATTCTAATTCACAGTTTTGTTAGCTCGAAGTTGGACTTTTGTAATTCTCTTCTTTTTGGTGCCCAAAAACGGGACATAGTTAAGTTGCAGTCCGTTCAGAATGCTCGAATTATCGCCGGTCTCAAAAAACGAGATCACATCTTCGAGACTCTAAGAGATCTTCACTAGCTTTCTGTTGAGGAGAGAATTGTTTTTAAAATAGATTTAATAACTTTTAAAACATTGAATGGCTCCGGTCCCCGTTATCTTGAAGATGTTTAAAAAAAATTACCATCAATCAAGGACATTAAGGTCATCAAGGGATCATTTACACCTTGAAGAACCAAATTTTAACATGAAAAGTTATGGCCAGCGAGCGTTTTCCGTTGCTGCCCCCCGACTATGGAACAAGCTCCCCTTTGAAACTCAAGCTTGTTCTGATGTTAATCTTTTTAAATCTAAGTTGAAAACGTTTCTTTTTAAAAAGGTATATGACATTTAGTTTCATCATATTTGTTTTTGTTTTCTTTCCTTTTTAAGACGGTGTATGCTATAAATTTCCCAATATGTACAGTAGGGATATGCAAGCTTGTGATTAATGATATTCTTATGTCCTTTTTTACATTGTGAAGCGCTTAGAACAGCGATGTATAAGCGCTATATAAATTCCATTATTATTTTTATTATAGTATATTCTTTGAGTTATTGCTAGAATTTATTTTTTTTAGAATGAGTGATCACAAAATGGTCATAATGGCAAGTAAATACAGTACAAATAATAACATTGACACAGGGAAGTCGCTTTCTTTAATTTCTAAAAGGAAAATAAAGTAGAATTAGACAGCACAAGACAAAGACAAAGTCATGCCGGCGAGGGGGGGGGGGGGGGGGGGGGGGGGGGGGGGGGGGGGG